AAAAAAAAAAAATATATATATATATATATATATATATATATATATATATATATATATATATATATATATATATATATATATATATATATATATATATATATATATATATATATATATATATATCTGACTTTATCATCTGTGAGTACTGTTGAATTTGTTGCTTCAGAATCTTTCTCATATTCACATGTTTCGATCTTGGCATAATCATGATCTAAGTGAATGTTTCTGGTTAAAGACTCCTGTTTTTTTTTGTGTTGATTAACTGCTTCCTTGTCTGGATCCGCCATTACAAACTCATCAACAAACTCACCAATAACTTCATCAAAATATTCTTTCTTTTTCCACAGAGGCAGATGTATCATTCCAGGTTGAGGTGCATGTTTTGTTGGCTTTCCATCCAGGTCATCTAGGCCCCAGAATTCCATAGCTGCTTCACAAATGTAAGCAATACCAATACTCACCAAAAATTGCTCACACCCTTCGTACGATTTTGTGACCTTGTCTGCAGTAACATTTCTTCTGTTGAGCTTCTCTCTGAAATATTTAACTGTACCAATTTCTCTCACAGAGCTGGCTTTGAACAGGCAATTATACGCAAACTGCAACAAAGCAAAAAATACAAAATGCATTGTACCCATGTAATACAATTTAATGAATTTGTACAAGATGGTACATTGTAAAACTCATTAACAATTCATGAAGACAATTCAATATAAATAAATGTTGAATGAGGTGCAATATCAGTATATCGACATATACAAAATTCTCCTGATTTTCATTGATTCAGTTAAAATAACTACTTTGTGAATAATTTCTTGAAATACAACTGTTAAAATCCTTACATTTCACAAGCTGTCTTGAGCTTATTGCATAGACGGATTTTCATATTTTTACTGGGGTGTTGCCAGAAATTTTAGGGGGGTGAGCCGTGAGCAGGTGACTGAAGCACCATGCACAAAGTGTCACCAAACCCCAGTAAGGTCTATATTCTAGGGGTGGAGCACTAGAGCCGCGAGGGGGAGCAGAAAACAAAGAGCAGAAAACAAAGTATCCCTGGAAAAATTGAAAAAAATCATGATTTCTAGCTTCGAAAAAAAGTTTTTTGAAGTTGTCATATCAATGGATTTGGCATGTCCGATTGTCTGTTGAGACTTGAGAGAGTTAAAGTTAAATGAACCTGTAAAAGTGTAAACCCAATAGGCCAATACACAATATGCTTTTACTTTTATAAAGTCATTGACATTGTGTCGTTTGAATCCGAGTACAATTTATGATGCAACTCCGATGTAAATAATATTTGGGGCGTAAAGATTAAGTCTAGGCAAGTCTATTTCCTAAAAGAATTAAAAACTAAAAATAATGTTCGTAGCATTCGCGTCCGTCTTGTATCAGATGGACACTCTCTCATCTTCGATTCGAGTTTGTATACAACTATGATATGATACAACACTGTCGCTCATCCTTCATATATACAAAATAAATAACATATGATTCTTATTGTGATAGAATGGTAATTTGGATAATCGAGAATTTCATTTTTTTAAATGTCCAGAAACGGGGATTACATCATTTGTATTTACCCCTTTCAGCGCACTCAGTTGTACCTTGCTTAATTATTTTACTCTGACGACTAAAATTGGCTTGTATTAGACAAATGGAGAGTGTTACCACAAGATGGGTGAAATGTTCGTGCATTGTTTTCTTATGTATTAGTGTATTCTTAGAATTTGAACTGAATCATACTGTATATAGCCATAAACATGTAAAGTATCTGCTTAAAATGTACTTGAATTAATATTTAAATTTTTCTTTCTAGTAACAGTCAACATATAAAGAAAAGAACCAGTCCTTAAATCGTGTGAACACGTTTTTCACATGTAAACACCTTGATTTAATTAATTGGAATTACCTGTACAAATGCCATTTTGGTGTGAAACATTTCTATTGTGAAGGGACTGCAGTGGTCGAACCGATCCTTTGCGATATGGCACCCTCGTCGTAGATCTTTGGCTCCTGCAAATCGCACCCTAGTCAGTTCGTCTCCTCCGAAGGGTACTGATACATCCTTCATGTGATCTTGCTCATCTGCTTGCCTAACATGAGCACCAGGTTGACTAGGCCTAGACGTAGCACCTGCTAATGTGCCATCTGTGGTCGCTGGTTTTGAACTTTCTGGAACATCGATGACACCAGCTTTGGAATATATATCTTCTAGAGTATTTTCGTAAGAGCAAAGTATGTCGACAACATCATCGTATTTCTTTTCTTGTTTGAAATGTATGGCCAGAGGTACGATGGTTGATTTCTGGGCCATTTCTTTGGAGTATTTACTAGCAATATGCCCTGGGATAATTGACTTCAAGAACGATAGTGAACGAATGTGCTTTACCAATATTCGCCCCACCAATACCTTGAAATCTTCCCGCAGTTTACGTGTTTCGTCGTGGTTGAGAAGAAACAGTGAATTAGGAACTTTGCTCATGTCGCGTTGCGGAGCTTCTTGCGCGAGGCCTTCACAGGGTACCCTTTCTACTATGATGTTAGATGCGAAATAATGCAGATCTGTGTTTTGATTAGATTTTCGCATGTCGTGCGCGCGGACTTGATAATCCCAGTTGTCACCAGTGCCTTGGAGTCTCTTGCCTTGCTTTACTTCTTCAACCACTTGGTCGTTGTTGTGCACTGCGATGGTATTAAGCACATTAATCTTGCTCTGGTGCGATAAAGAAAATCCTAACTTTTGGCACCTTGTTATAAGCTATGTAGATAAAAAAAGGACCATATAAGTATTGGTGTATTAATAGTTAAAGTTATTAGAAGCATATTAACCAATATTTATGCATGTAATATATAAAACACGAGCAGCCCATTTGTATCTGATTTACTGTGCAAGACGAGCCGTAGTACAGTACATCAGATAGAGATCGGATGAGAGAGCTTACTCAAAATGCAAAGCATCTTAGCAATCAAGAACACACGTCATAGACTTTATCGCGATAGAGTCTATGGCGTAGACCAAGTAATCAAGTTTCCGAACGACTGCATATGTCAGGGGTGGAAAAAATATTTCACTTTACGGGACCGCAAGAAAACACTGAAAATTTTCTGCAAATAATAAAGTAAATTGACACTCGGTCATTGTAACTGTGTTATGTTGTCGAACTGAATGTCATATTCTATATTTTAAATTAACAGAAAAATGAATTTCATTGCACTCAGAATCTTAATAATACTTTTATTAATATAACCTAAAACTAATTTAGATAACATGCATCAAGGACGGAATGAGGTAGGGCCACTAGTTTTACTTACACTACTGTCAAAGTGTTACCCTCTTTAATTAAAGTCACAAACCAAACAAAGTCATGAGATGAATAGATATGTCAAAAAAGGCACTACTTGGGGGGGCACCACCAGGGATCGATCCATGCTCAACCAGAAAATTTTGAAAATTAAGCATTCCATATTGATTAAAAATGCATTTGCCATACAACATTTGTTACATCATTCTGTAATCTATACACTATCGCACTATTAAGATGGATGCACTTCTCATTGCATTTCTGAGGTCATACCTACAGTGCAGGTAACATTCTTTCTATTAGTTAGAATCGAATTTTCCCACTTAATTTCTCCTTTTATCTATTAAAATTCTACAATTATCTTTTTTTCTTGGAGAAATATTTTCTGGGAACTCAAAAAATTTTCTGTGACCAATGGTCCCGTGGTCCGATACTTCTTCCATGCAGCCCTGATATATGGTTTGTTTTGCCGAGGAAATCGATGCTTAACTTAATGTAAATTAGGACGAAATTATTTATACAGTGTAAATTATGAATGAGTATTTTATGGAACGAAAAATTTGAAACGTTTGTTAAATTCGTGTTGATACGGTGAATTTTAACAAACCTTATATATACTTACATGTATATGTAACACATATATGTTAATTTATGATTAACATGTGAACAAAGATAACATGATAATGTCGTTTAAAATGAAAATCATTAGTACAGGTATTGTACAGTACACTATTTCAGTAAAGTTCTGGTGTATCATTATTCATACTAAGTTATTACCACACATAAACCATGTAAACCGGACAAACTAGAAGTACTAAAACTGCAGATCTATATAGTGAAACCCATAACAATTTTTTTTTATGCCTACGACATAAGTGGATTGCACGCGTTGATCCTTTTAGGATTTTCAAGCTGTCGCAGCTAATCATAATGAATATATTCACGTTATATATTCTCCTAAAACTTTGGCTTAACGCCTTACAGTCCGCAGGCCAGAGTCTAGGAATTCCGAAACAATACAGCTATCAGACAAATCGCCTCGTTTATAATCCATAGTCGGTTTTGGACTTTGAAGATAGTCAACTTCTAAATATTAAGAGAATGTCATACTTATAAAAGAGAATTTTCTTTTCACTCTTCAACAAAGCGGCTAAAGTATATATTTTTAAATCAGTTAATCTTACCATTTTCTTTGCGTTGCCCTCCGACAATAGCACTGTGTTGATTCGCTGAACCAGACTAAGTTCGTGGTTGCGTTGCTGAAGTAGAATGGAATAGCAAAGGCAAATGGGAGGCTCAGGGTTTCTCGATTTGTTGCTACATTTTGCAACTGTTACCAGAACATCGCGTAAGAACGAACAACGAACTGACATTTCTTGGAATAGCGAACTCCACTCAAATTTGACCATGTCCGAGTAGTCTTTTTTTTGCAATATTGATCCATTCTTCTTGGAGCAAAGCTTCGTGCAGTCTTCATCAATTTCTTGAAGTATCTTGTATTTTATATGTTTTTTAACAGAAGGAATGCGCAACACTGCCTCGGCCACCAGGGATGGCAATCTTGTTGACACGGTGTTTAGAAGTCTGTGTACGGAGTCCGCGTCCAGTGGCATATCAGACTGGTTTATCTGGGCAACAAACAAATTTCGAATTACATTTCAGACAGATTGGACCCACAAAATCGTAAAAAACCTTAAATAAGAGAAAACTTCAACGTTTCAAGCGAATGCATTTCGTCGTCTTTATACACTAACTTGCAAACGAAGGGTTTTCGCTGGAAACGTCGAAGTTGTGTATTTTTCAGGTTTAACGTGCATTTTCAGAAGGAATATGAAGATTAATAAAACACAGATTACTAAAATGCGGCTTACGGGTATATGTACCCCCAAAACCAAGATACCCTAAAAACCACAAGCTAGCGCCTAGCTTGATTTATAGTCATTAAGTATAAGTTAACATGGCGGTTGACTAATGATGTACCGTTTTAGGTTACCTATACACGCGTAAGCTTTTGAATTATTTTTTTGGCGAGAGAAACACTTGGAAGAATTTTTTCCGGTACTATCTACCAAAATGTGTAACCTGAAAATTAAAAAAACGGACCAATTGGTAACCTGTATAATCTGAAACTTTAAGACTAAGTTTGCAAAATATGATTGTTATAAACTTTTGGGGGGTTTGTTTAGTCGGAAAACCTTGAATAGTGTTATAACATTATATTTCAAACAAAGCTACATGCGTTTTTGCGCATGTGGATTTTGGGGGTACATAGGGTTAAAAACACGCAATTTCACCAGGTCATATCTTTTACAATAATTACAAGCAATAAATGAGAACTGTCAGGAAGTTTACTTGAATACAAAAGCATTTATAAATTGAGTATATTTTAAAATAATTATAGCGATGTGCTTTTTGTGGTACATATGTACCTGTAGGGAAAGTTCCGTCATACAAAATATGAAGATTGTTCGACAACGATCCTCTGGTGTACCATTACAAAATGTTTTACGGCTTTTGTGTGAGGAAAGGGTACTTATGAATTAGAAATAGCAGCAAGTAAAAGCTTAATAAGAGAGGAAGATCATAATAAGAGGGCTAAGTAAATTTCTTCGTATAAAAGCGTGATATCAAGTGTGTTAGAGAGCTAGAGACATCTGGAGCCTTTGGAGACAGGGAGGGGGGGGCTTCAAACAGGCACGATAGCAGGTGTGTATAGAGAGAGACATATCTGGAGTCTTTAGAGACAGAGGGAGGAGGGGGAGACTTCAGTCGGGGAGGATATATGAGTGACAGTATAAATTTTTTATGGGGTCAAGTGATGAATATAAAAGTCAAACAATACAAACCATCTTATCATTTAGGCCACATGTTGATATTAATTCATGGGTTGACGGCACATTATCCGATCTATTTTCTTGGTTGTTTATATTTTGAGATTTGGCATTGGTTGATACATCGTATTGCAGTTTCTTGGGATGAGATTTCTTGGCTGATTCAGGCTGGGATGACTTTGCACATCTCTTGGAGGAACTGTTTGTCTTGATCATTTCTTGGGTTTGGAATACAACAGCTTTAAATTCGTCGAACGTTTCTAAACACTCCTGACATCGTCGACAGACGTTGCATGGAAGACGAGATTTCTGCGACTCATCAATCACAACATTTAATATTTTTTCGATTTTTTTTTGCGAGTCCTTTTTCTTTCCCAGCTTTACTAAGTATGGACGTCGACTTGCTATAATTTTTCGCATCACCACAAAGCCTACATATTTTTTCATCTATTCTTAAATATTTTTTTCTCCGGAGTTACTGCCTGATAGGTAGCCATCGTAAAAAGTTTCAATTAAGAATTTCGAAAATTCCTGCCAATAATGTAGGGGGGTGGGAGCAGGCGAAAATTTATGGCAAACTATTTTCTGTTTTTTAACTGTTTTTTAACTCTGTTTTTTATATTATTGTTTTTAACTATTAATTTATTGTTGTTTATTTTTAACCGAAATATGGTAATTTTGCCGTGATGTGTAAATTTTAAAAATGTGTAATTTTTAAAACTTGATTTCTTGTCAATTTCACTTTCTAATGTTTTGGCATTTTGAATGCTGATTAATATGTATTGGTTATTCAATCCCCCCTGCTTTAAATTATTATCTTCTTTTCCATTTTAACTTACTATTGAAAATGAAGGTATCACTAAATTCATTTTTTCATGGCATTCGTTTTGCATTACAAAAATGCAAATTTGATGGTGTATTTCTTAAAGTGAAGCAGTACAAAATTTTAGATGCTTTGATATCCGGAAGAGATGTGATTGGAGTTCTACCTACGGGTTATGGAAAATCCATCATTTTTCAGCTATTGCCATTTCTTCATGAATACCACAGCATCTCGGACGCTGGTAATATTGTGATAGTTGTTGCGCCACTAAATGCATTAATTGAGGACCAAATTAAAAGTCTTCGAAAAAGGGGGGTGAGTGCTGGTATGTTAAGAACAAAACCACAGAACATGCGCACAATTGCAGATAATACAAACTGTGATTCTGATTCAGATTCTAACACTGATGAGAACAACATTGACAATGAACTTGAGCAAGATGCAGGAAATGAACTTTCTTCTATTCGTAGTGGAAAATTTAGACTCTTATTTATCCACCCAGAGGGATTCATTTCATGCCGAGAAGGCCGAAAGATTCTGACAAGTGAACCGTATCAGAAGAATGTTGTATGTTGTGTTGTCGATGAAGCTCATCTTGTTCATGAATGGGGAGAGGACTTTCGACCAGACTTCAGCAAGCTGTCCCAACTTAGGGCCTTATTTCCATGCACACCAATGCTAGCATTAACTGCATCAGCCCACCAAAGTTCATGGGCATATTGACTTCTTCCCTTCATCTACGAAACCCTTTAAAGGTAATTGGTAACTTAGACAGGCCAAACATCTATATAGAGGTTCTTAAGCGAAAACCATCAGTATTTGGGTCAGAAAGCTATGAGAGAATCCTTTGTCCAATTGCCAAAGAATTAAAAACAACACTAATTAACTATCCATTAACTATTATTTATCTACCACTGAAATGGTGTGGTCATGCATTTAAACTTTTTATCCAAATTCTTCAAGAAAAAAGTTATTTTCCTGCAGGTGAAACACATGATCCTTCCAAATGTTTGTTTGCTCAGTTTCATGCAGCCCAGACTGATAAGATGAAAAGTGAAATTCTTGAACAATTAACAGGAGAATCTGAAAGGCACAATATTCGTGTGGTATTTGCGACAGTAGCAATTGGACTAGGTGTAAACATACCAAACGTCAGACAAGTAATACATATTGGACCTCCAAGGACTATTGAATCATATTACCAGGAAATCGGGAGGGCAGGTCGGGATGGAAGATCAGCCAGAGCAGTTTTATACTACAGTGGTTCAGAAATTGCAACAAACAAACCTGGTATGACAGATGAAATGCGTGTTTTCTGCCCAACGGTTAAAACCTGTCTATGAGAGTATATGCTCAAATATCTGGGATCAACATGTCAGCTCAAATATTTACCTCATTCATGCTGTAGCAACTGCTCTCCTGCATGTACATGCCAAACATGCAGGGACAGGGGCGGATCTAGGGTAAGTCCAATCAGTCGCGTGACTGACGTATTTTTTGCAGAGAAATAATTAATTTATTATTTTGAAATTTGAATAATTAATTCCCGAATATAATATGAAATTCATATCATAGTCCAGTATACGTCTTTACGAGCTCAGTTTTGAATAAATATATGCTTTATATAGAGCAGCGGTAAAACGCAAGAATCTCGCAGAATCGGGTGGTCGTTATGCTCATTTAATTGGTCGAGAGGTCATTTGGACTTATCTCGACTGATCTGTGGGGTGGCCGGACTGATTTGCACTTTAAGGGAGTCTTTATCAGTCCATTTCGTTCCTTTGATTGGTCAATTTGAAAATATTGTGGGGTGGTCGGACTGATTTGCAACTTAAGGGAGTTTTTATGGGGTGGTCCGACTGATTTGCACTTTAAGGGAGTTTTTATCAGTCCATTTCTTTCATTTTGATTGGTCAATTTGAAATTATTGACAATTCCTATTGGTTCATTTTTTTTGACTGATTCGGACTTCTTCGCGGCTGGGGATATCAGTCCTTGAAAATTGCGAAATTCATGCAAAGCGGTCTTTCATATTCCCGTATACGAAGGTTTTTCATAGTTGGGAGAATTATTTTACGATGTCGAGTATTTATATGTACGCGGCCGATTTTACGAGTCAATTTAACGGCCTTTAATAAACTTGAATTGTCTCTGAATGAGGATTATTGTGGGGCAGCCAAGATATCAAGCGAGCAGCTTTTTAATATAATGTTGTTCTGTTCAACAACGAGAAGGCACTAAGTTGGGACTTCTCTGCTACGTGCTTCACAAAGGTCATGGTCGTAATTTGGGTGGTAAAGCCAAAGGGAAAGTGTGCACTGCTATAGTGTATGAGAATATCCAAAATTATGAAACAGAAATTAATATATTGCAATGTATCTTGTATGATACATGCGTCTGCGAAGTTGAAATACAACACGCTTTAATTAATACATTTTTACACGCAATCGACTTGCAACTTACATGCGCTTTCGGGCCTTATAGCTTTCCTGCTGTAGAATAGAGCATTGTATTGGAGTGTTAGAACAATATCATTTGGATGATTTGCATTGCATGAAGATTTGCGATGAATATCGTTATACTATACAAATGATATTTATAGCATATTGTATAAATTCATTGAATAAAAAATGCATTTTACAAAGTATAATTGAAATATTACTCTTTATTTTGCTTGATAATTTTGATTCACAAACAGCGAGTTATATTGGATTGGTCATTGGTATCATATCACTTCAATTTGCGAAGGATTTCATGAGCCAAACTCAAAGGCTATTGAAAGTTGAAACTACATGATGTGTCTTGTAATATGACCCTCCGTTAGTGAATCTAATTCCGAGGACTGGGAGAAGGCACGTTTGTGAGATAATAAAAAAGCATGTGCTTGATGTACTTTATAATCTTTGGAATTCTGCAAAATCTCACCGCCAAAACGCTTGAAATCGCATTTCAGAGACTCTAGATTTCAAAACTTTCCGGGGGGGCATGCCCCCAGACCCCCCTAGCAAGTCTCACGCCTTCGGCGTTCGACTTATGTTTGAAAAATCCTAGATCCGCACCTGTGCAGGGAGATTGCAATCTCACAAGTACAGTTGTCCAGTGATATAGAAACACAACCCAAACAAAATACAGTACGGGAAGTGTCACAATTAAGCTGAAAAGAAGGTAGTTGTAAATTTGATGAGAAAGTACAGGCTAGATCTTGGAGCAAAACATTGTCGCTTTGGTAGCATTGACTTAAACATTGGATTCACACTAGATCTTATTGATTCGATAGCTGCTCAATGCGAGTTCATAAGATGGTAGATCAGCTGAACAGATGTTTTCAATGTTTCCTATGTGGGACAAAGATCATGCTATTACATGCATGCAAATAATTAAAGACGTGTGTGGGGAATAATGAAATACTTTTAAAAAGTTATCCATGGTAAACGTAATTCGTAACACTAATAATGCTGATTTTATAATTGTCAGTTACCCTATATACGTTAGTCAATACGCCACGAGTATGCTGACGACGATGCGCAAGTTTAAACGTCGGAACAAAATTGCGTGCGTGTCGAACATTTATGGAATAGATATTGGAAACACTCGGAATATTTTCGACTGGATAAAGAATGGCGTGAACTGCTTTATGCTTCTTATGACAATTCTCTGGTTGTGCTTGAAACTGAAACCATCATACATTCCTGTCGAAACAACGCTAAATGGCATTGTTATTCATTCTGAACTTGCAATTTTACCTGACAAACTGTGTTGTGTTTGGGCTCCTACTCGAGATTTAAAACAAAGGAAATTCAACTATCCTTTAAACTATCAATACAGAATAAATCTACAAATTGACCGTAAACCATCTCACGTTGTTTTGTTAATTTTACTGGCTGGTGATGTGGCGACAAATCCTGGTCCTTGTACTTCTTCAACTAGCAATCGAATAGTAAAATGTCTTTCTCTTAACGCAAGAAGTTTAACAAGCTTACATAGTACAAACAACAGTGAAGGTAAACGCAGTAACATGGAACTCGTCCAGAATTTGGTGTACTCCGAGGACAGTGATATTATTTTTGTGAATGAAACTTGGCTAAAGAAAGACATCTGCGATCTTGAAATTCTGCACTCAGGTTATTCTATTTTTAGGAATGATCAAAAAACTAGCGGTGGTGGAGTACTGTTAGGCGTAAAAACATCTTCCTTTAAATCTGTGCATGAAATTAAACACAATTATGACCTAGAAATCATTTTGGCTGAAATAACAACAGCTACAAACATGAAAATAATACTGGGTTCCTGCTATCGTCCTCCAAATGAAGATCAGACTTGGACAGAACGTTTCAACAACTTTCTTGGTGATATTTGTTCAAGTCACCAACACATTGTTCTCGCAGGGGATTTTAATCTTCCGCAAATTTCGTGGAACTCACCAGAACAAACGACAGGTTTCTCTGAGAATGCTTTTATTGAACTACTTAATGACTATTTTATGGTTCAACTCAACAACACCGCAACTAGAGAAAATAACGTTCTCGATCTCGTTATCTGGTCTGGTTTTTTTAATTTTTTGGACTTATTTCAATGAAATCCTATAAAATATAAAATTTTCGAAAAATTTGCCGCTGGGATTTGCGTCTCATCGCTTAATTAGTTTTGAAATTATCCGCATTCAAAAAACGGCGTATGCAAGGTCACTCTCGAATAGGTCAAAAACGTGTTATGATTCTAAAGGAAGTGAAGCAAAAGCATATATCCGGAAATATTTAAGAGTGAAGAGTGGCTCGGGGCATTTGGGAAAGAAGACATTTTCACTGCGATTTTGGAGTTAAATTTTCTGGCAATCAGTCACTAGACTCACTACACAACTATAATTTTGCCAGCAGTGGCCATATAGTACTAAAGCAAAGTAGAAGAATCGCCGTTTATGACTGCCTCGTTGGCCCAAGCTTTCTGGTTTTGACTTGAGAGGATATTTGCAAATCGGGCAAGCACTGAATGTCTGGTAGGTTACACTCGAGGTGGAAAAAGTACAGCCTCGAAAAATGCGACACAAAGGACTATCACGACTGCATTCGATCACTGATTTTTAGATCAATGCATTCGATTTTATCACATTTGCTGTCTCAATGCAAGTTGAAGGTATATACCTTATATATTTCACATATAAACATATACATTTCATGCTTATGATTCATATACATTTTACAGGCTGTCAATATATACATTTTACAGGCTGTCAATATACTAAAAGATTCATATTTTTTCAACTTATGGCATTGTCATCATGACAAGGCAATGTTAGTGGTTCTGTCTCATTTCATATATTGGCAAGAGAACCATCCCATGTACCACACACTGTATCAAGCATTATTAGCTTTCAGCAAGCACCCTGTTGAAAATTTCCACCTCTTCTGTGGGCATGGACTAAGGGAGTTGAACTCAAACCGGGAGTTGAACTTAACCCGGGAGTTGAACTCAACCCGGGAGTTGAACTCAACCCCGGAGTTGAACTTAACCCCGGAGATGAACTCAACCCTGTTGACCGGGTTGAAATTTCAACAGTCTGTAATAATAATATAAAACTCTATCAAAATCAAATGTGCAACTACATAACAAAATTTTCAAGCCAGGGTCCAGTTCAACCCCGGGTTTGAAATTTCAACCTTGCTTCAGTTAGCAGAGACTCAGACTCGGGTTAAAAATGTTTTCATGCAATTGTTTCAACCCAGGGTTGAAATTATTCACGAGTTATTCAAGCATGTGTGGTAGTACTATTTATTACAAGAAAACAACATGGAGGCTACGGAGCTGCTTTCTTTTACTTCCGGAAATCAATGCGTACAAAAAATTTCAACCCAGTTAATAGGGCTGAGTTCAACCCCAGGGTTGAAAGGGCACCATGTAATCAGCCCTGGATACCAAGTGCTGACAATGCTGAGCAAATTAGGCAAAGGATTGATAAATTATTGTATTTCATTTTGTCTCTATTTTTTATCTTTATCATGAAAAATAGCACTCCCCCTGCGCCCCCTCTGGCCAGGGCTAGGGTACACCCAGGGCTAGGGTGCTGGCGAGGGTGCACCCCCACCCCACACACACATCTTGAAATTCTGAAATCCAACAATCTTTGCCACCAAAATTTATTACTTTTCTGACACCTGTGGGTGGGAGAATTGATCTTTATTTGACCGGAATATTTACCCCCACCTACAGGAATTTGACTGTTTTTCTTGTCAATTTTTCAAATCCCCTACTCTGTCGTGGCCTCCCCCACCACAGGATTTCCATTGATATGTGCATTACTGTCAGGAGTGCATGGGCAAAACAAGTAGACAAGAAAAGTGGAAACTAGAAAATTTGTTTGGATGCATGGTTGTCACCCAGTGGCATAGCCAGGGTTTACAAAGTGTGGGGTGGGATGACTTGAGCGGCAAAGGCACGAACACTGTAGGGGGTCAAAATTCAGAGGCTCTGAATTTTGAAATTCAGAGAATCTGAAATGCCATTTTGTACATTTTGGGGCGAGATTTTACAAAATTCAGAAGATTATAACATAATTTGGTAGTCAAGAATACCTGTGTCTTCACTTATTAGATTGTGAATAATAAGCTGGCCATGAAATCAGATAAGCGTTACCTCCTCCTCCCCCCTAGTTTCTCAACGGATTTAAACATATCTCGAAGTTAGTTCTGAAGGAGAAGAGTGTGGGGGCGACTCATCCCACCAGTCCCTCCCCCCCCCTGTGGCTATGCCACTGTTGTCACCACCAACCAAGTTGTTCCATTGGAGACCTCCTAATCCAACAAAATAAGTTCAGTATAATTATACTGCATCACTATCAAGAGTTTAAAATGCTTTAGTAAATAGGTTTTGATTTCATGGTCATAAAAATATACAGTGGTCTTACTGTTTTCTATACAATTATGTAAAACATATGGGAAAAACTGCGTTCAAAAGCAAATAAGTAACCTTCTGTTGACTGACAATCTGGTGCTTGAAAAATATGAATCTTTTAATATATTGACAGCCTGTAAAATGTATATGAATCATAATTAAACATGAAAATATGTATCTATATGTTTAATATATGTGAAATATATAAGGTATATACCTTCAATTTCCATTGAGACAGAAAATGTGATAAAATCGAATGCAGTCGTGATAGTCCTTTGTGTCGCATTTTTCGAGGCTGTAGACACTCTTTCCACCCTGAGTGTAACCTACCAGACATCAGTGCTTCCCCGATTTGCAAATATCCTCTCAAGTCAAAACCAGAAAGCTTGGTCCAACGAGGCAGTCATAAACGGTGATTCAGTTCTTCTACTTTGCTTTAGTGCTATATGGCCACTGCTGGCAAAATTATAGTCGTGTAGTGACCGATTGCCAGAAAATTTAACTCCAAAATCACAGTGAAAATGCCTTCTTTCTCAAATGCCCCGAGCCACTCTTAAATATTTCCGGATATATGCTTTTGCTTCACTTCCTTTAGAATCATAACACGTTTTTGACCCATTCGAGAGTGACCTTGCATACGCCGTTTTTTGAATGTGGATAATTTCAAAACTAAGCAATGAGACGCAATCCGGCAAATTTTTCGAAAATTTTGTATTTTATAGGATTTCATTGAAATAAGTCCAAAAAATTAAAAAACCAGACCCCCCCCTAAGGTTTTATTTACAACCGTAATTTTCGTGTTGAAATACGCGTCTAAACCGGAAGTAGTAACAATGTACGCGTTCTGATTGGCTTAGCGCCAAAAGGTAAACAAATGCTCTGATTGGTCAAAAACGAAATTCGCCCTTGTTGGCTTGAAGTTGTTGT